CTTTCCCTCTTCCCCTCCTCTCTTGGAATGCACTGAAGCCCCTGATGTCTGCTGGGCCTCAGCTCCCCACAGCCCCACCCCTGCCCTCACCTCCCTCCTCACTTCCTCCTACTCCCACTTCATCCCCTTCACCCTGCCCAGGCCTGTCCCTAAATGCTGCCTTTGTTCCCTTCTCCCACACTCCTCCGGTTGCCTCCCACTCTCTGACGCCCAGGACGGCCCTGTGAGCCATCCAGCCTAGAAATCCTCCCACCCCGGTGAGCAGAGGTTTCCCTGTGAGCAGGGGCGGCACAGCATGGGGGACGGGGTCTTCGGGTGCAGACACACCTGAGCACTCCCCTGAACAGGTGTACCTACATCTCAGCAAGGGAGGGGAGAGCAGCCGGGACCTCCCCTAGCCTGAATTAACCACAGGGGCCTGGGCCTTCGGCTGTGATATTTGCCAAATGATCCAGTTAATTGCCAAATTTGTACTCTCAGACAAAATGGTAATTATCCAGATAAGCATCTGAAAGCGGGATAGATGTCCCGTTTCCTCCCAGATGTCAAGCTGCCCATGTCAGGTGGTCGGTTGCTCTGGGGTTTCCTGTTTCTCCAGGTTCCTCACAGCCTCTGGTCAGGGGAAGGGCAAAACAGGGCAAGAAGGCCTTGTCCAGACCGGGTGGGTCTCAAGGAAGTGTCCTCCTCTCTCTGGGTCTTGGTTTCCTCATGATGAAAAAGAAGCAGATTGGGATTTTTTTTTTCCCCCCTTTGGAGAGATTTTTGCTATAGGGCATGTGTGCTCACCAGAAAGACAGAGAGAACCAGAGAGATAGGAAGTGAGAAATCACCCTCCTCGGGGGGGTGGCCACATGGCAATCCCTTCTCCTCCATTCTCCTCTCAGGATCTTGGGCACGCATGTACACACACCCGGCATAAACTTAAGCCACCAGATCTGGGACTCGAACCACAGTCAACTACATGGGAGTCCAGTGATATAGCCATTATGCCAATTTCTGGTCCCCCAATTGGGATATTTGAGGGATCTTCAAAAGCTCACAGAAAATGCATATTATGGGAAAGCCGTGCATGGATTTCCATATTTTTGAGGGCCAAAATAAACTTAATTCTATCGTTCTACCAACATTTTGAAGTACCCTTGTACATGAGAATCCCCGAGGGAGGGGCCAGCAGATGGTGTCGCTGGTTACATCTTAAATCGCTGGACTTTCACGTAGTCAAGCGATGTAGACAGTCCCAGATCCGGCAGCTTAAAAAACACGTCGGGTGCGTGCGCATGCATGCCCAAAATCCTGAGAGAAGACTGCAGAAGAGGTTCAGCATGGCCATCTCCCTGGGGAATTATTTCTCTCTTTCCGTCTCTCCATCTCACTCTGTCTCTCCGGCAAACACACACGCCCTATGGCAAAAATCCCTCTAAAAAGAAAAAAGAATCCCCGACAGAGATGTTCTGCAAATCTAAGCCCCAGCCCCTAAAACAGAACCTAATTGTCTGTGCTTACAATTCCCCGGGGAGTCTGGTCTGAGGGCTGCGATTCGGGGAGCCACTCCACTCGGTAGGCCCAAGGAGAACTTTCCAATCCTCTGGCGCAAAATGGTTTAAGTGTGGAGGGGGGGTTCCCAGCTCTTCCTCTTGGCATCTTTGAGCTCATCTGTGAAATGGGCACAATGGCCTCCACCCCCAGGCCTGATGTCAGGAGCGCCCACGCGGGTACAGAGCCCAGCATGCACACAGGTGTGTCCCACGGAGCCTGGCTGTCCCCTGCTGGACTCTGCTTTTCTTCCCTGCTTCCTGCCTCGAAATCTCTTTTGTTTTGTTGTCCCCCTCAGCACCGGAGAGGTCGCCCCACTTCCTTTCTCACCCACCCTGCCCAGGAACAAGCATTCTCACCCAAGCTCTCCAAGGAAAGTGGTCCCTGCCCCTCCAGGGCACCCCAGCTGTTCAGCCTGGCTTCTCTTTCCAAATCCTAGTCACCGCCGTCTGCCCAGAAAGCTTTCCTGCCCGTACCAGCCTAGCCCAGCCACTCCGGGGCTGGTGACCAGCCATGGTGGGAGGACTAGGTGGTGAGCTGAGAAATGAAGTCGCAGGACAGGATGAGGGAAACGAGGCTGGGCCAGGCGACAGAGGCGACAGTGGAGACGAGGCACTGTGCTGAGCCCCACTATGGCGACACTCACGACTAAGCAAAGCGCCCTTTGCACACGCCCTGCCCTGCTGTCACCCCAAGGCCCAAGCTGGACCCATGGCAGAGCACGGCCTCCCCGGAGCAGGCAGCCACCCACCCAGCTGAGTCCTAAACTCCTGGCCTACAGTAGGAGAGCCTTGGGACAGAGGGAAGGGTCATGGGACACGGAAGGGGATGAATATGTACATTTTAGTCTTGCCCACCAAAGCTAGCCTGGGCCCTGTCCAGAGGCAGAGGCGTGAACAGGAGGACATCTATGGCACCCTCTGTGACACTGGGGGTGGAGCCAGGGACATTCTGACCACAGGTCCACGAGAGGAATGACTTATGTTGCCACTCAAGTGAACTTTTTCCAGCACAGATTCTGCTCGGAGACTGGGCAAAGCTGAGGCACAGGAATGGGTGCCCCCCCCCTCCCCCCGTGGTGCCATCAGCAGCCTCCCACTACGTCACCTGGGCCCTGCCCAGCAGGTCTACAGAACGGGTTCCACATAGGGCTCCTTGCAAAAAGCTGTGTGTGGGCCGATGTTTGGGTCTGCAGGAGACACTTCCGAAAGGTGCCAGGATGACAGGCTCATGCCCTTCGTTCCATCAACCCACTGACCCTGCTCAGTGCCACCATCCCCCACGGCTGGCATGCCAGCAGGCTGGGCCTAGACAAACCTCTGCCCCATTGCAGTCTCCTGGGTGCTGGCCCACCCCCTCCTGCCCAGCCCGGCCTGCAAGCACATGTATGTGCACACATAAACAAAAGGCTGCCTGAAGCTCCTATGAAGTCACTGCAGTGGGGGGCCAACAGGGGGCTGGTAGGTAATGTAAGATTCTGGACTCCCACATGGCCCACTGCGGTTCGAGTCCCAGACCTGATGGCTTAATCCTCATGCTGGGCATGCATGCGTGTGTGTTCCCAAAACCCCAGGAGGAGACTAGAGGAGAAGGGACAGCGACACGGCCATCTCTCCAGGGGGAGGACTTCTCACCTTCCCTCTCACTGTCTCATCTGGCGAGCACACACACACACACACACACACACACACACACACTATGTCAAAAACCTTTTTTAAAAAATCACCGCGGGGGGCCTTTAGCTTTTCCTAAAGTACACATTTCCAGACTCTTACCCCCCCAATGCACAGAGCCCGTGAGCGCCTGGGTGTCTCTGTGCATAAATGGATGTTTGCATGTATTTGTATGTGGGACCCATGTGTTAGCATGAGTTCGTGTGACTAGGCCCGCACAGCTCTCATGTACTCTCAAACAGTGCAAGAGGACCTCACAGCTTCCTCCTCAAATGGGGGATCCGGGACAGGTCCCTTCCTTCCCCTGGGAAAGAAGACCTGTCTTCGCCTGTGAATGAAAGAGGAGACGGGTGAGGCTGCCGGCCAGGCCTGGCCTTCAGTGTTGACTCAACACTGCCTCGGAGGAACTGGGCGGGAGCTCCCGGTCCTGTTTGTGCACCCGAGCTCTGCCTCCTGACCTACCTGGGGAGCCCTCAAGGGCAAGGACAGTGTCCCTGAGTCTCCAGCAGCCCCTGGACTGGAACCTGGACTCTGCGTTCCTGATGCCTCCAGACGGGGCTGCCCAAGACCCTCCTGCCCCCAGAACTGCCTGCCTCAGGGGCGCTCGGGCTTTTCTCAAGCCGTGAGTACTTGTCTCGGCTGAAATCTGGGCCTAAGCCCACAGAGAAAGCAGACGAATCCATGTGCCCTGCTGGTGGGAGGGAGAAACCCAAGCCCCTGCCTTCTTAGCGCCTTTTTGTCCTCCTTCTCCCCCCAAAGCCTTGAAATGAATCCTTAGGACTCCAGGAGCGATCTGAAAACCAGCATTGCCTCTTCATTTCACATCCTGTTCCCTATGGGTATTCCCAGGCCTGGTTTCGGGATCCCCGGCAGACACCAAACCTACGGAGGCTCAAATCTTTTATACGAAATGGCATCGCATTTGCGTATAACCTACACACATCTTCCCGTACCTTAAATCATCTCTGGATCTAACTTTTAATACCCAATGCGATGTAAATGCTGTGTAAAACATTACACCGTATTGTTCAGGGAATAATAATAGGAAAAAATATAGTCTCTAAATGTCCAATACAGACGCCACCAAATTTTTTTCCAGATCTTTTCAATCTGGGGTTGATTGAATCTGTGGATGGGGAGCCTGCAGGTACGGAGGGCTGACTGCAGAGGGAAACTGAGGCTGCGGGAATGGAAGGGACCTAACCACAGCCTTGCCGTTAATTAGAGGCAGAAATTAGGACTGGAACGCAGCCAACTCTCCCAAACCCAGCCGGGGGCACCGCAGTTTGCTGGTCAGGGATGAAGGCCTGTCCCGACTTTCCAAGCGAGCTGCCTAAAGAGGGGTACCAGGGGATCGCCCCATCTCTGCCTCCCAGGAGGAAGCCTGAAGTCAGGTTGGAGCTGGGAGGCAAGGGAGCTGAGAGCACCCTGCTCCGGGACCAAAGCTCCCAGAAAGGACTTTGCGTCTGTTCCCATCCCTGTCTCGTCCCTCCCTGCCAGAGGGCATGACAGCACCATCAACGAGCTCACAGTCAGGAAGCCCGGGCCAGCAGGGCTGCTGTGCTGACCACGCTGAGGGGGTGTGGAGTCCCCATGCTGGCCAGCAGGAGGGGTGCCCCAAGGAGGGCCACCCATGGCAGGGAGAGTGGGCCAGGAGCAATGGCCACAGCAGGGCCTTCAGCCCAGAGTGCCTCCCACAAGCCTCCACCTGCCCCAGTCCCTCCCACAGATGTGCATACATGACCACACACATGGAATTCACACAGACACACTGACATAGCACACATATGAATATGTGCAGTCACGCACACATAAACACCCACATGCCGATAAAACACATACACACATACCCTCCACCCACACACACGCCAGCCCTCCCCAGCAGTTGGCCCACAGGCTTAGACACAGCCACATAAGCCGCACACACCGGCCACGCAGGGCTCGGCCCAGGATAGAGGGGGACGAGGTGTGCGGAATGTCAGGAGACTGGCTGGGAGATCAGAGAGGGCAAGAGGCCACTGCACTGCAACCCCGAACGGCAAAGCCAGCAAGGGCATTTCAGTGGCCCCAAATTCCCTTGTAGTGTTTTCCCTCAACACAACCAGGAGCCAGTCCTGTTCAGGCAGGAAGAATTCTCTGTCCCTTAAAACGAAACAGAGTAGACAAAATGAACAGACACGCCAGCGCGGAACCCTGGAGTGAGGTCTGTCTTTGGGGCTTGCTCTCTGACCTGACTTGAATTTCTGCTATGACCTCGGTCAAGCCCCCCATCTTCCCTGTGCCTCTGTGTGCTCTTCTAGGAAATGCCTCTGTCTCCTGGGACCCTAGGGAGCTGGGGAGTCAGCCTGGGAGAAAGAAGCGTTTTTCTTTTTTTCCAAAGAACCAGGAATAGCAGAGAGACCCGAGCCCCTAAGTAGGAAGCCCAGGAGAGGTTGGGGCAGGCAGGGTGCAGGAGAGGCAGGTGGAGTGTGGGTACCTCCTTCTCGGCCTTGGCCTCCTCCACCGTCACCGTGCTGTGATTCTTGTGCTCCTGGAACATGCAGAGGTAGCAGATGCACGTCTGGTCTGTCTGGCAGAAGAGCTCCATGGTCTTGCCGTGCAGGGGACATTTGCGGGCCTCGAAGTCCCGGATGGGCTCGAGCAGCTGGTGGTCCCGGAAGGCGGCGCCCTCCAGGTGGGGCTTGAGGTGCAGTTCGCAGAAGGAGGCCTGGCATACCAGGCAGGACTTGACCGCCTTCTGCTTGTTGCCGATGCAGGAGTCGCACAGCACCTCCTCAGAGCCCGACTTGGAGCGCAGGAGCGGGCCCGAGTCGGCCCGCGGGTAGCTGTTGCGCCGAACCTCGCCCGGCTCCATGATGGACACCGTGGGCTTGCGCGGCTCAGAGAAGATGGACTTGCGCAGCTCCCCCTTTTCGGCAAAGGTGACGGGCGACTTCTTGGCGGCGCCCAGCTGGAGCCCGGCGTAGGGCGACCTCCGGCCTTCTGCTGAGTCCATGCTGAAGTAGCTGGAGCTTTTGTCGTCCGTGGACTCCACGAACTGGATGATGGGCCGCCGCCACTCGCTGCCTGCGAACAGGGCGCTCTTCCCCTCCCCTGGCTTCAGGGGGCTGCCCAGGCCCTTGCCTTCGGCCACCTCCCCGCCGTGCCCGTTGGTGGTCTTGGCATCTTTGCCATCGGCCTTAGTACCATTCTCTAGGCTGCCATTGGGACCCGACGGGCTCTGGGTGTCCCTGGCTTCTGGGATCGACCCATTACTCCTGGAGGTCTCAGCACTTTCCATCGTGGGTCACTTGTCTGGGGCTCGCTGGGGCTGCCAAGTGGGTGACTTCTCCGCTGGCGTCTCAGCGGAGAATGGGGCCGGCAGCCACAGGGCCCAGAGACACACCTGTGGGTGGAGAGGGGAGGAGGCGGAGCAGGAGCAGGGGGAGCAGGAGGAGGAGCAGGCAGGAGCCTGACACAACGGGCACAGGGAGAACAGGCGGCTCCTCCGCCAGCCAGCAGAGCGCTAATTACACAGGAGCGCCCCGCCCGCAGTCAGACCTGATTTTTAGAAGTATTTTTTCTCCCCCAGTTTATTTATTTTCCACAACTCAGCAACCAGTTGAGCTGCTTCCATCTGACGCACTTGCCTCTCAACAGGGAGAGGGGAAACCTCTGTCCACACAGTACTGAGCCCAGTGCCAGGCGCAGAGAGTGAGGTGTCCACAGAGGCCCTGGGGACAGAGAGCTTGTAACTGGGTCACACAAGCCAAACAGCCTCCGCATCTGCAGGCCCGGATTTCAGAGGAGAGGTTCTCCAGCCTGGGACAGCGAGGTTGAGCCTCGCCTTCAAGGGACAGCAGGTTCTGTTTGATTGGATTTTCCTAAAAACAACATGGCTACTGTTTTTGATCCCTATCTGCCAGCTTCCAGGCACTGTCTCAGGTGCATTTCTTAAATTTATTTATTTATTTTGCTTTTGCTGTAGGCCATGTGTGCTTGCTGAAGAGAGAGGGGGCGAGGGGGGGGAAGAAAGTGAAATCACCCCCAGGAGGACTGGCCATGCTGCAGCCCCTGCTCCATTCTCCTCTCGGGATTTTTGCACATGCATGTGCATGCACCCTGTGTGTGTTTCAAGCCACTGGACCTGGGATTCAAACTGGTGCTGTCAGCCATCTGGACTCCAGATGGGGTGCCTTAGCCACCCCACCACAGGCTGGGTCTGTCCTAAGTACTTTACATAGGGTTTGAACTCATTTAAGTCTCACTACAACTCAGTTATCCCTTTTAAACAGATGAGAAACTAACGCCCTAAGGAGATACCTCATTTTCTGCTCTAAGTCAAGGAGCAGGAGTCGCGGTTTGAACTCAGGGCTTTAGGATTCCAAAGTTCTTCCTCCGGCTAGAGCCTCCTGACTATCTCACCAGCAATGACTTCTGGAAGTCTTTTCTGGCCCGGTGGAAAGATACATATTGATGCAGATGGATCTTCGGTTATTTCCACCAGGCAGGTCCGAACCTGCTCAGACCCAAAGGACAGAGAACTGTAATGAAGGGAATCCGAAGCACGCCAGGCCAGTTGGTCGGGTCCTTAGGGCCTAAATAGTTGATTCCCACCTGTCTTCACAATAGCTTTTCTGTGTGACTCAGAAAAAAATCTGCCCACCCTGTCTAGGACAGGCCACAGTAGCACTCTCCGAAGAGACTGACCAAGTGTGGGATTCAGATCATCTTAGCAATGAGCTGTTCGGGTAGGACTATCATATAAACACAGACCTCAGGTAGAGAAATGAGAAAAACATGATCCTCTGCCACGGTCCTAGGAAGCAAGCACCTCCACTGACTAATGGCCATCCCTCTCCCAGGCTCCCCGAAGAGCAGATCGTTGGTGTGACTGGGGTGGCAGGATCTGGGCAGAGCAGAAGGGAGTGGGTTTCCCTTCCTCCCCCTCAAATCCAGGTCAAGCTCCAGGAGCCCGCGTCCCTCTGGCTCACCAGGCTGAACAGCTAATCCTTTGCAATAACAGCCCTGGGAACAAGGGTACACACAAGCCTGGCTCACAAAGCAGCCCAGTTTTAAGAGGATGTGGGTGCGGTGGTGGAGATGGGGGTGCTGGCTTCATGGTGGGGATTCCCCTCCCACCTAAGGTCCCTGTCAGGTCCCATAGGGGCCCCCTCTTGTTTGAACTCACTGGAGAATTGCCTAAGAGCTCAGGTGGCCTTCCGGGGTGAGGAACCGCTTCTGAAAAAGCCAGGCCCAGTTTTACTGGGCTCTTGCCTGAGACCTGGAAGGAGAGGGAGAGCGAGAGGGAGAGGTACTGTCCTGGTCTGTTGGGTAAGGAGATGCCCTCCCTCTCCCCCTCTAGTTTCCTGCATGACCCAGGAGAACAGGCACTGAGAAGAAAAGGGCAGAGATCCCACAGCAGCGCTGGCTGAGCCTGTGCTGCACTGAGAGGCCTCCTAGTCCTTAGAGTTCACGCGCCTATCTTCCAGACACCTGGAGGGAGATTCTGAGCTATGGGAACAGGATGATGCACAGTAGATGTTCAAAAACATTTGCAGGTGGATGGATAGATAGATGGACAGGTGGTTGGGCAGATGGATGGACGGATGGATGGATGAATGAATGAATGGATGGATAGATGGATGGATGGATGAACGAATGGATGGATGGATGGATGGATGGATGGATGGATGGATGAACAAATGGATGGATGGATGGATGGATAGATGGATGGATGGCTGAACAAATGGATGGATGGATGGATAGATGGATGGATGGATGGATGAGTGGATGAATGGATGGATAAGTGGACAAGTAGATGGATAGATGGATAGGTAGATGGATGAATGGATGGATGGATGGATGGATGGATAGATGGATGGATGGATGGATAGATGGATGGATGGATGGATAGATGGATGGATGGATGGATAGATGGATGGATGGATGGATAGATGGATGGATGGATGGATAGATGGATGGATGGATGGATAGATGGATGGATGGATGGATAGATGGATGGATGGATGGATAGATGGATGGATGGATGGATAGATGGATGGATGGATGGATAGATGGATGGATGGATGGATAGATGGATGGATGGATGGATAGATGGATGGATGGATGGATAGATGGATGGATGGATGGATAGATGGATGGATGGATGGATAGATGGATGGATGGATGGATAGATGGATGGATGGATGGATAGATGGATGGATGGATGGATAGATGGATGGATGGATGGATAGATGGATGGATGGATGGATAGATGGATGGATGGATGGATAGATGGATGGATGGATGGATAGATGGATGGATGGATGGATAGATGGATGGATGGATGGATAGATGGATGGATGGATGGATAGATGGATGGATGGATGGATAGATGGATGGATGGATGGATAGATGGATGGATGGATGGATAGATGGATGGATGGATGGATAGATGGATGGATGGATGGATAGATGGATGGATGGATGGATAGATGGATGGATGGATGGATAGATGGATGGATGGATGGATAGATGGATGGATGGATGGATAGATGGATGGATGGATGGATAGATGGATGGATGGATGGATAGATGGATGGATGGATGGATAGATGGATGGATGGATGGATAGATGGATGGATGGATGGATAGATGGATGGATGGATGGATAGATGGATGGATGGATGGATAGATGGATGGATGGATGGATAGATGGATGGATGGATGGATAGATGGATGGATGGATGGATAGATGGATGGATGGATGGATAGATGGATGGATGGATGGATAGATGGATGGATGGATGGATAGATGGATGGATGGATGGATAGATGGATGGATGGATGGATAGATGGATGGATGGATGGATAGATGGATGGATGGATGGATAGATGGATGGATGGATGGATAGATGGATGGATGGATGGATAGATGGATGGATGGATGGATAGATGGATGGATGGATGGATAGATGGATGGATGGATGGATAGATGGATGGATGGATGGATAGATGGATGGATGGATGGATAGATGGATGGATGGATGGATAGATGGATGGATGGATGGATAGATGGATGGATGGATGGATAGATGGATGGATGGATGGATAGATGGATGGATGGATGGATAGATGGATGGATGGATGGATAGATGGATGGATGGATGGATAGATGGATGGATGGATGGATAGATGGATGGATGGATGGATAGATGGATGGATGGATGGATAGATGGATGGATGGATGGATAGATGGATGGATGGATGGATAGATGGATGGATGGATGGATAGATGGATGGATGGATGGATAGATGGATGGATGGATGGATAGATGGATGGATGGATGGATAGATGGATGGATGGATGGATAGATGGATGGATGGATGGATAGATGGATGGATGGATGGATAGATGGATGGATGGATGGATAGATGGATGGATGGATGGATAGATGGATGGATGGATGGATAGATGGATGGATGGATGGATAGATGGATGGATGGATGGATAGATGGATGGATGGATGGATAGATGGATGGATGGATGGATAGATGGATGGATGGATGGATAGATGGATGGATGGATGGATAGATGGATGGATGGATGGATAGATGGATGGATGGATGGATAGATGGATGGATGGATGGATAGATGGATGGATGGATGGATAGATGGATGGATGGATGGATAGATGGATGGATGGATGGATAGATGGATGGATGGATGGATAGATGGATGGATGGATGGATAGATGGATGGATGGATGGATAGATGGATGGATGGATGGATAGATGGATGGATGGATGGATAGATGGATGGATGGATGGATAGATGGATGGATGGATGGATAGATGGATGGATGGATGGATAGATGGATGGATGGATGGATAGATGGATGGATGGATGGATAGATGGATGGATGGATGGATAGATGGATGGATGGATGGATAGATGGATGGATGGATGGATAGATGGATGGATGGATGGATAGATGGATGGATGGATGGATAGATGGATGGATGGATGGATAGATGGATGGATGGATGGATAGATGGATGGATGGATGGATAGATGGATGGATGGATGGATAGATGGATGGATGGATGGATAGATGGATGGATGGATGGATAGATGGATGGATGGATGGATAGATGGATGGATGGATGGATAGATGGATGGATGGATGGATAGATGGATGGATGGATGGATAGATGGATGGATGGATGGATAGATGGATGGATGGATGGATAGATGGATGGATGGATGGATAGATGGATGGATGGATGGATAGATGGATGGATGGATGGATAGATGGATGGATGGATGGATAGATGGATGGATGGATGGA